GCGCGAGCGGCGACACTCGAGGCAGGCCATGGTGGCGAGCGACGCATCGACAAGGCTCCGGGCAATCGCACGAGCACCAGTCCATCCCAAGGACGCGCTCATTGTGTCTGTCCTCTAGTTCTCCCTGACAATAGCAGAGACGGATGGGCGGCGACTACGGTGGAAGAACACCAAAGAGCTCTGGCTCGCTATCGAGTTTTCGGAGCTCGAGGTGTCAGCGTAGGTGAGGAGGCACACCCATGAGCAGGAGCGCTTGCTATGGAGGCTTGCCGGGGTCACATGGAGCTGTTGGATGACTCCGACGATGGATCAAGCTTCGACGACGATGACCCTCCGACCGCAAGGGGAAGGGGCGGCAAGGAAATGGTGATTCCCTCCGCCGTTCCTTGTTTAATTAAGATTTTTATCATACGTTTAGGGTACTGTCCCATTGAAATTGCATCGTTTGGTTGTTCGATGATTGCTTATGCTAGAATTATGCCTGATTTAACTAGAGTTTGTGTTAGTTCATTTATCTACATAAGTTTACTTTTATACGTGCATGTTTTGCATGGATATGAGGGGCCGGATATAAGATACACATGTGTGGTGCACAAAAATGAGGAGTTCCTGACCAGTGCTCCCAGACACGTCCGCGGTTGTCTGAGGGGTCATATTTGGTGTCTTCGGCTGTAGATGCTCTCAGAGCTCAAAAATAGGGTCTAGAGGAGCGGTGGGGTGGCTCCTGCGTGGCAGGCCCCCATGGCCACGTGGCCCGCACGTGCGGCCATGCAGTCGCTAACGCCTGACCTACCAAGGTGAGAGGCCGCCGAACGACTCAGCGCAAAGCATAAATATTTGGCATTAAATAATCAGATATGTATATATATGAAAGACGAATAATGCTGGTGATAGAAAACGAATATTTGAGAAGTAAATAAAAAGAAAGAAAACCACATGTATCAGCACCTCGCTTTGGCTCTCTGACAAGCCGAGATCCGCTCTTCCCCGATGCCGGTGAGCCGCTCAACCATAATCGAATATGAATAATAATGTTAATGATGGAAATGAATCATTGTCGTAAATGAAATAAAATAAATGCTAAGATATATCGAAGCAGGAAAAAAGAAAAAGAAATCGGTGGCATTATTGGTTCGCCGACAAAAAAGGAAGCTTCCCCTCTCTCACTGCTATGGCGCCCAGAACCCAAAAAGACCAGTGAAAGGCTGAGGAAGGTTCCAAAATTTTCTGGAGCCCCTAAAATGTTCCTAGGCCGCTATAGGCTAGTGCCCAAGGTAATGCCCAACTGGGAGAGGCACCCGCATGGGCCATATGGGCCAAAGAGTGGGGAGCCCACGAGGCATGGTGGCCAAGCCTTCTCTTGGCGCCTAGGGTTTGGGGGACGATCTGAATCTACTCCACTTCCCTCTTCGTCCACTGCACTCTCAATCCCCCCCCATCTGAATTGATGACCGAAGATGGCAGGAGCTCGTTTTGGTGGCAAATCTGACGGCTCCGACGGCTGGTCGAGCCTGTTGCGCGACGTGGAGCCCAACAATGTGGAGGAGGTTGTCCTCTGCATCGCGTTGAGACGGTCGCGGCTTGACCAAGGCAGCTATGGCAACTCCTCTTCTACAGCGCCCATTGATCCAAAATCACTGTCCCGTCCTGCCCGTCTCGGAGCTCTAGCACTCCGCTTCCAATCTCCTTCAGTTAAGCCACCCACCATCACCAATGCGGGTTACGTCTAGTCCGAAAATGGTACCACGGGACCTCTGGGTCGCCGTGCCCGCGTCGGTGCCGGTGCGCATGAGGACACCTGATTCAAAGGCACGGGCAACCCACCACGAGCGGCAGCTTGCGAGGATAGGTCGGCGGTGGGGGAGGCGATGGTCGCGTGCAGGGCACGCGTTGGCGCCGGTGTATCCCGAGGTGGCTTTCCTCTGCCTCTCTCTCATGACGGTGGAGGCGGATGCGCGACACCTCCGTCGTAACAATGCCAAGGCGCTCTGGCTCGCCATCGAGCTGTCGGAGCGTGATGTAAACAAGGAGGTGGTGGCCACGGCGAAGCCGGCCTGCCATGGGAAGGAGTTGGACTGCTTGCTCTGGAGGCTATTAGGCCAAACATGCTTTGACGAGTGGGACCTGACGGACGGCTCCACCTGCAGCTTCGACGACGCCGCACCGCCGCACGCCGATGCATACATGGAGGAGGGCCTCAGGCGCGTCGATGACCGCAAGGGGAAGGGGCCAGCGAGGATGATTTCCTATGTCCTTCCTTGTTTTATATATGTAGTTTGTAGTATGGATTTGTTGAAAGTGCAACTAATCTCCGGGAGGTTTTGGTAATTCATAACGACATATATCTCACTGAACTAATATCCATTCAAGATAAATACTTGAGGATGTTCAATGTATGGCATGGCATGACATAGAGATGTGGACCCTTCAAAATGCTAAGGACAAGGATTGGCAAAAGCTCAAGACTCTTTATTTTTTTAAGTGATCAAATATCATAGTGAGTCCATAGGAAAGTCAATACTATCAAAAGGGATGAGGTGTTACTTAATGGTCTACTTGCTCAAAGTGCTTAGTGATATTGCTCCAAAATCCTTAGCCACTTTCTCTATCCAAATATGTTAAAACCCTAAACTCCAAATCATCCCCACCGATATCTTTCATCCGGAGCCACCGTGTTCATTCTGACATAGCCACTGCCAAAACCCTAACAATTTGGTCACACCGATACGGATCTTGGTCCCACCGAGATGACCTTGCTAGTTCTCTGTGACTTGTTACAATCACTTCGGTCTCACCGATTTGTTGCAATCGGTCCCACCAATTTGTTGCAATTGGTCCCACCGAGTTGGCTTGACAGATTCTCTGTTGCCATTGCACTCACTTTAGTCCTACTGAGTTGATGTAATCGGTGCCACCGAGATGAAGTTTTCCCTAAGCCCTAGCACATAGGTCCCATCGAGTTGTTGCAATCGGTCCCACCAAGTTGGCTTGACAGATTCTCTGTTGCCCATTGCACTCACTTCAGTCCTACTGAGTTGATGTAATTGGTGTCACCGAGATGAAGTTTGCCCTAAGCCCTAGCACATAGGTCCCACCAAGTTGTTCCCCCCGATTCCACCGAGATTCCTAACATTCATATTTTTGAACAGATCGGTGCCACCGAGTTTCCTAATTGGTGCCAATGAGATGGGCCAAAAGTGTGTAACGGTTAGATTTTGTGTGGAGGCTATACATACCCCTCCACCCCTTCTTCCTCATGGAGGAGAGCCATCGGAACGTGCCTACACTTTCACCATTCATTTTTAGAGAGAACCACCTACTCATGTGTTGAGATCAAGAGAATTCATTCCCACCATTTTGAATCCTTGATTTCTAGCCTTTCCCAAGTTGCTTTCCACTCAAATCCTTCTTACACCATAACCAAATCTGTGAGAGAGAGTTGAGTGTTGGGGAGACTATCATTTTAAGTACAAGAGCAAGAAGTTCATCATCAACATACCGTCTATTACCTTTTGGAGTGTGGTGTCTCCTAGATTGGTTAGGTGTTGTTTGGGAGCCTCCGTCGTGATGTGGAGTTGAACTAAGAAGTTTGTAAGGGCAAGGAGATCACCTACTTCATGAAGATCTGCCCGAGCGAGGCGTATTCTTTATGGGCGATGGTCTTGGTGGGATAGACAAGGTTGCTTCTTCGTGGGTGGAGCCCTCCGTGGACTCGCGCAGACATTATCCTTCGTGGGTTGAAGTCTCCATCAACGTCGATGTACGATAGCACCATCTATCGAAACCATGCCAAAAATCTTCGTGTCTCAATTGCGTTCACCTTCTCCAAATCCTTACATTTACCTTCATATACAATGTTTTACATTGCGCTGCTATACTCTTAGAATTGCATGCGTAGGTTGATTACTTGACTTGTAATAATTGCTAAAATCTGCTCACAACTAAAATTGAAAAAAGGAAAAAACTTATATTTGGTCAAATAGTCTAATCATCCCCTCTAGACATACTTTCGATCCTACATTTGCACTATATGTTGATGAACTATCGTCCTTTTCCGCGGCGATGAAATGGTGTTCCGGGCCGTATAGAGATGAACTTTGCGTCGATCGTATTTGTACATAGCATTGCATGAGTTGCATGGGTTTGAGATTTCAGATACGAGGGACGCGGCTATGAGAGCAAACATATGAGGCGTGTCTGGTGAGTGCATGCGGCCACGAATGTGTGAATTCGCAGGCGTTTGAGGGGCCAAATTTGCTAACCATAGTTGTAGATGCTCGGACCGGTGAGTAAAAAAGCAAACCCCTAAAAAAATATAAAGCCTAGTATGTGATGCCCTAAAAAAAGTTGATTAAAACGACTAGAGAAACTCAGAGCACAAAGCAGGGTGGCTCCAGCGTGGCAGGCCGGCTTGGCCACGTGGCCGGCACGCGCGTCCACGCGGTGACCTGGCGGAGCGAGCGAGCGTATAAATGTGTTGCATTAAATAAGCAGATATGCATATATATATATATATATATATATATATATATATATATATATACGGCATATATAAAGCGAATAATGCTGGGGATAGAAGAGGAATATCTGGGCAGAAAATGAGCAGAAATAAAGAAAACCAGAGGCAGTATTGGGTCGCCCACAGGAATCCGTTTGCTCCCTGGCGCTGCTGTGCCTTCGTCTCCCCTCGTCCGCCCCCGGTTTTGGCCTCCTCCCTCCCCTCGCCGTCTTCATACGAGGATGGATGGATGCCCCGCCAATATATACCCCGCCCCGTCCCCCGCCCCGACCTCCACACTCGGC